ATCCTAATCCAAATAAAATTTCTTCACCCCAGTGTGGTCCTTGCAACAAACTCCAAAAACATATTGTAAATAGCTCAGCTGGCAAGAGAAACTCAAGGGAGACACACTATAACTTCTTTATAAACTCAGTCTTACTTCCTTTCATAGGAAAAAAACAAATCTTTAAACGGCATTAGCTCTTGCAGACTTTGGCCCAGATCCTGGTATAAATGCAAAAGCCCCATCCTGCTGCTACTCTGCTGTCCTACAAATGAATAGGACACACGGTCACCACGTGGTTCTTCCTTAGTCTACAGCTTATTATCCTCGGTGTGTTACAGCGAGGCAAAGGAAGAAAGACAGGTTCTAGCAAAGTGATCGCTGCCTCCCAGGTATTTCTGCCTTGGCTATCATGAGCTATAAATGAATTGCCCAAGATGTAAAGAGTCCAAAAGAAACCAATTAATAAACATCAGGGATTTTCTTTAAAAAAAAAAAAAAATCCTGCTGACTCCAAGACATGTATGAATTCAAGTCATAAAATAAACAGGGCGGTAAGAGGTCAAATAAGAGAGCTGGGGTCACTCGAAGGGTGTTGCCTCTTTAAATGGAATAAGCAGAAGGAAATGACTTGAATTCAATTAGCTCATCCAGAAACCGGGGGCAGGGAATATATAAAATGATACGAGAGACATTTACTGCCGGGACTTTTCCATCTGTGGCTGCAGGGGAGGCTGCTCCCGGACCCACATGTGCCTCTCACCCCTACACACCTCTCCTGTGTGGTCCAGACCCCACCCCCGCTCACCCCCCCACCCCCCGCAGCTGCCCCATGCCAATCCCGGCCAGGGTTGCTCAGGCTCTCACGGGAAGGAGGCGGCGAGCCCCCCATGCCCGCCAGACCACAGGGGTCTGGGCCGGCCCTCTGCCAGCACGGCGCCTCCCTCGCTTTCCCGAAGGGTGGCCCAGGACCACCTGCATGCGATCATCTGCACCCGTGCCAAGGTGCAGACCTCTGGGTCCCGTCCCCGGGCTCCAGGATCTGATCCCTGGGGATGGTGTCCAGGAAGCACCACATGGGAACACACCCATGTGCCATGCATGCTTCTCAGCAGACTGATGAGTCAACACACACCCTACATGCAGCACAACTGCCGCTAAAAGAGCAATTTAGTCATGGCTGGAGATTTCAGACCATGTTCTAAGGATGAAGCCCTGCTTGGATTCACAACACTCTAAAGGTACAGAACAGTAAAAGCAATATAACAGCTGACACGAAAGGAAGGAAGATGCTCCCCGCTGGCCCCCCAAATTGATCCTAAACCAACTGGCACCCTTTCCCGTACACCCTTACAGAACTAAGCATTATGAAAACAAACTTTAAGGCGTCATTTTAAATTAAATATTTAAAAGTACCTCATTTGAGACTCTAAGAAGAAGAAACACAGATAATTAGTTCCTGATTTAGCAGCCTGTCAATGCTGACTTCCTAACTGCCAGATAAAACAACTCCATGGCCAGGCTTCTTAGGAGACCTCTAGCATCTAAGTGTTGATCACTTCCTTTATAGGCCCTTTCCGTGATGAAGCCCTCTCCTGTTTCCCTTCCTCTGACCACATATTCCCTTGCAGGCCCCATTACACACACTGCCCAGTCCTTAAAAGCGGACAGGCCCCAAAGTCTTGTTCTTGGCTTTCTGCTCTGGCCACTTTACACCTGACCTGCCCACCGCCATGGCTTCAGGTCAACCCTGTGCTGAAGACCCCAGGCTCTTCCCGCCTGGGGGTCCCATCCTTCACGGCTAGCACTCCCTGGGCAACTCCAATTCCGTGTGTCCAGTGCTGCGCTCCCCTCACACCTGGTTCTTCTCCCTTCAGTATTGCCATTCTTAAGTCTCAACACAACCATCCATCCAGTCTTCCAAGCAGAGGGCTGGAAGTTCTCCAAGGGCAGAGCAGCAAACTCAAGGGCCTGCAAGTTACATCACCCGGGTGATGAATTTATTTTTTATTTAAGAAATGAGTGTATAGGTTTTAACATGGTCGATTCTACGCAGTTTCCAGATGTCATTCCATTTAACACTCAGTACAGCCCTAGGAAGTAAGTTATCATTACTAATCCCACTTTACAGATGGGTAAACTGAGGCACAGATGTATGGAACTTGCTCAAGGTCACTGAACTAGTTAGAGCAATGACTTGAGAGCAGGGACTCTGGCCCAGAGGTCACTACACTCACTTTCCAGGCCATGACTTTTCTGAGGTAATGACTCAAGTCTGCGGAGGTAGTGTGCCATGAGCACAGAACCAACAGCTGTGGCTATGTTTCAATAAAACTTTTTTTTACAAAAAGAGGCAAGCCTCTATCAACAGTGCTATCACCAGTTTCTCAATCACCCCTACACCTTAGAGTGAAATACCTTTGACATGGTCCCCGAACCTTAAAAGAATATAGTAAAAATGCAGAAGTGCCTGAAAAAAACACAAGTGAAGGCTTCTATAACCTCAGGGTGGTGAAAATATTTCTAAGCATTAAAAAAACTAGTAAGGCTTAATACCTGAAAGTTAAAAATTCCAATGGGGCAAAATAAAACAGAACAAAGCATCACCAAGTAAACATCATAAACAGGAAAAGCAAAAAGTGACAGAAATATTTTCATGCATATGATGGATGAAATGCTGATGTTCTTTATTGACTGCCAAGAGCAGGCCAGAGCAGGACTAAGGGAAAACCCTTGAAAGGATCTGACTGGATATGGGGGCAGACTGGTCCCCAAGGAGGCAGGAGGACGGAGCACAGTGGGGAGGAGGGACCTGCCCAGCTGCTAGGACAGGGGTGGAAATGGGGGACAGGGGAAAGGGAAAAAGCCTTTCTCTGGGGAGGAGCTTAATCATTCCAGGTTACCACGTTCCTTTAAGTTCGAGCAGAGTCCAGGCAGGAGGCACTGTGAAGGGAAGGTACTCTTGAGTGGGTTATGAGTAGATGAGAAAAGGAAAGTCAGTATGGCAGGAAGATGGGACAGAGAGGGTAGTTAGGACCAAATGCCTCAGGGGTTCTGGACCTCAGCCTGCAGAGAGGGGGTGCGGAACCTCACAGGGCTAACAGAGGAGGTGAGACTAGAGATGATGCTCTCAATGGAGAGCAAAGAATTAAGCCTGACTCCAGGGTTTCCCATCTGGGGGAAGTGAAGAATGCTGGTATTACTGACAGAAGTGGGGTGATAAGAGAAGTAATGTGCCGGGCGGGAGGGAGATACTGCAGTGCACACAGAGAAAGATGGTCCTGCTGCTGGGGGAACTCACTTCCAACACCTGCAGACAAAGCAGTCTCATCTTGGGGGTGACATCCTTATGATCCTATCTGGGGTCATTCTTAACATGTCAACACATGATTTGCACACTGCTTGTGTAAGTGACACAAGATAACTTCTGCAGGAATGTGATGACTGCTCAGCCATCATGAGACACAGAGACAGCACCTGCGATCAGGCTCACTGTTAGTTACATTGTGCAAGTCTTACTGTGATTCCTCAGCTCCTTCATCAAATTCCTGTGTCTATTTGTCATCCCCCCAAAAAGACTTAAAGTGAGCTTGGTGGCTGAGGAAAGAAGTCATCTCTTTACCTCCTTCTACCCTAAATTTCAGGCTCAACTCTCTTGAAAAACAAACAAGCACTACTTTCTCCCTGATTTTCTCTACTCCGAAAATGTTCTGTCTCATCTGTTCCTTTCCCAATTCTGCCTCAGTAACATTACTGACCACTTTCTGTCCTCGAAGAATAGGTAGTGTAACTATATTATCCACCTATTCCCCACCTATATTCTTCACCTTATTATCATCCAAGGGCTTGTCTGGTGGTTCTGGTGATGAAGAATCACCTGCAATGCAGGAGACGCAGGTTTGATCCCTGGATCAGGAAGATCCCCTGGAGAAGGGAAATGGCAACCCACTCCAGTATTCCTGCCTGGGAGCTCCCATGGACAGAGGAGGCTGGTGGGCTGTAGTCCATGGGGTCGCAGAGTCAGAGACGACTGAGCGATTGAACCACCACCATTCTTACCCAAGAAGGAAAGGAGAGACCAGGCGTTCAGTCTGCAGGGTGGGCCAGAACATGCCTTCTAACAGGATTAGCACAGAATAAGCCATTTTGAGGCTGAACTATGAGATGAGGTGACAATAAAGCTCGGCCAGACTCCCAGAGTGGCTGTAACAACCAAACGATATGACTCATGGGTTAATACCCAAGCAGATACAATAAAATTTGGTGCAGTCTGCTAGGCTTTGGCAAAAACATCCGGTACCAAACCTCTTTGCAGAAAAGCAATCTACATCCCTGGGTACGTGGGACAATCCCAGAGGCCCTATGAGAAGCAACCACAGCAGTGAGCTGGGGGTCCCAGCGCCTGTGGGTTCACGGCCCATCAAGCCCAGCAATGCGGCCCTTCTTGGTTTCAGAACTGAATCGGGATGCATTCTCTTACTGCGTCTTTATAGGACAGGAGGTGTAAACACACAAAACACAAGGAAACAAACAGGACAGATACTCTGTTTAACTGCAAGTAAAAGAGAGACTCTTTTTAGGACAATGTTTTGTCATTGTTTAGTCTTTCAGTTGTGTATGACTTTCTTGCGACCCCATGAACTGTAGCTCACCAGGCTCCTCTGTCCACAGGAATTCTCCAGGCAAGAATGCTGGGAGCCGGTTGCCATTCCCTTCTCCAGGGGATCCACTGCATCCAGGGATCGAACCCAGGTTTCCTGCACTGGCAGGCACATTCTCTACCACTGAGCCACCAAGGAAGCCCACAATATATTCAGGGTAATACTGTTCACAATTCTGCATAAACAAAATTCCAAAAATTTGATTTCAAATCCCAATTAAGTTGAAGAGAGGAAAAACTACTAAAAGAGGACCCGCAGTTTAAAATATTCCTTTGGGGGCAGTAATAAAATTAGTAGTTTGTTTAACTAAAAGAAGAATTTCAAGTAAGACTGACGAGACCAAAAGAAATCCCCAAGTACCTGTGAGTTTGATTTTGGACAGCCGGGCCAGGATTCCTGGCAGATCATCCGCACGCAGTTTCATCTCTTTCCACTGCTTCTCCTCTTTCGTCTCTCTCCCCAGAGCTACGGAGCCCTCAGTTACTGAGGCAGGTTCTAGTTCTATCAACGCTTTTTCACTTGGCTTTCTGGACAGAGGCAGGCTGGGGGGTACAAGAGGTCTCATCTCGCATATTTCGGCTTTGGCCTCATCCAAGGAAGTTTTTTCAAGGAAAGGAGATTCTGTTGGTTCTGGCTTCGGTTTTATTTGCTGCTTGAGGCTTCTGTTTAGTTGTGTGACATACTGAATTAAAAAAAAAAAAAAGTACACATAACTTATGAAACTGCGACCCAAAATGCTCTTAAGTGGTTGTTCAGTAACACTTTACATCAGTCCGACTTCCACAGTACTTAGAAAGATTTTCCTGCACCTTTATAAATACTTGCTAAAATAACTCCTATTAGAGTATGTTACGTGGGGGTCACTCTACTAAGATATGGAGAGGACAATTAACTGGTTTTCAGATTCTATGACTTAGAAAAATCCTAGGGATTTAAGTTCCCTGAAAGAAAGATAAACTGATTTCTTATTCATCTCCCCCAGGATTTGCCCCAACATAGACTCAGAAGTTGCAGGTTTAAAATTCCAAATACAGTGCAAATGTTTTCTAGACTCAAAAGCCCAAGTCAACCTGCTGACTTTCCTTGTTGCCCAGCGAGCAATGCAGAGAGAGGCTCCAAGGGGGCCACAACTCAGGGCTCAGGACCATCAGGGCAGTGGGTGTGTGGAGAGAATTGGGCTGAAAACTCAGACAACCTCTGTTACTTACTAGCAAAAAGGAGTAACTGTGGCTAACATCCATGAGGCACTTTACAGTTTGAAACAACATATACCGTTAGAGTTTACAGGAGACATATCTCATTCAGTCTTCTCAAAAATTGTGAAAGAAGACAGATCGTTACTAGTATCTTGTGCCTTAATTTTCAAATGAGGAAACCAAGGCTTGGAAACAATCTGACAGAGCCAAGAATAGAAAACTAGTTAGTTACAGATGCTCCTAGGACTAAAGCCCTTTCCTGATAACTAGCTAAGTGACCTTTTCCAATTACATTGCGAAGGCTTGAAATTACATACACTTGTCTGAGGAAGGAGTTACAAACTCAGGAATGAATTCAGAGTTCTGTTTACATAAAAAAAAAGCATCCTATGTATTTGAGTTTGTCTTCTAAATATCCATTATCCTCCATCCCCAACTTTACAAGTCTGATTATTATTGGAAACTAAAATCTCTCATCAAAATGAGTTTTATTAAGTTAAAAGATTTTAAAAGCTAAAATGGACATTGTAAGGTTAAAAAAAAAAAGATAAAAGAAATGTCAACTAGGGCTTCAGATTATGAATTTGCTATTCTTTCATGCACTGAAATTATGAGTTTTTAGCTGTGGTTTCTTCATTCTACAATACTTTGTGATCTGAGAAAGTGGCAAACGTAAGTTACCATGCTGACAACAACATGGAGTCAACATGGTCCAAGGTCTACAAACAGATTGAGCTACATTATGAATGCCCACTGTAAAATGCCAGAAAATCACAAGAACTCAATTTGTTTGAATCTGTTCAGAAGTGCATGTTTGACTCTCACTGCTGATGTAAGATAACAGAGAGGTCCTACTCTTGAAGCAATTATTTCTGTATTACTGATGTATTCACAGAACTTTAAAGAATATAAAAAGATGAATTATAACAGTTCAGCTTTTCCTAACTGTGGCCTACTCAAAACATGCCAGCAGCCTTCCATCTTTCTCCAGACTTAATCAATAAGGTTGAGACCATACTTTAAAACTCAAGACACCAGAGTTATTCTGGTTTCAGTTAAGCATAATCAAAACAAGGGATTAACGTTGTGGAAAAACTTAAGAGGGCAGGAAATAAAAGTCTTTTTCATAGAGTACTTGTTGCAGCTCTTCTGACAACAGGAATTTCTGAAATCCCCTCGTACAGGGAAAGTGAAGGCAGAGAGCCCAGTGAACATGGTCTTCTGAACCTACCATGCGCCGGAGGAAGTTAAAGTGTTGAAATGTGACCCGCTGCTGACTGACGTTCCTGAGAAGATGCAGGAACCTACAAGGGGACTGCCGCGTGGCTCTTCTTTCTAGATACCAGATGCATCCTCCTCCCCAGCCTGTCAAAGAAAGAGGAAAAAATTAAAACAGCCATTATGTCTCACCAAGCGATGTGTGGACCTGCCCAGAAGCAGAGCCAGCAACACGGTGGGCAGTGCATGAGCGATGGGTCAGAACTCGGAAATGATCTGATCCAGACTCATGAATGAACGGTTATCAACTGGCCCTGCGCACTGTCCGAATATAATTCTCCAGCAGAGTTAGGGAACTTGTTCATCTCAGGATCATTAAAAGTGAAAGTGTGAGTCACTCAGTCATGTCCAACTCTTTGCGACCCCATGAACTGTAGCTTGCCAAGCTCCTCTGTCCAAGGGATTCTCCAGGCAAGAATACTGGAGTGGGTAGCCATTCTCTTCTCCAGGGAATCTTTCTGACCCAGGGATTAAACCTAGCTCTCCTGCATTGCAGGCAGATTCTTCACTGTCTGAGCCAGCAGAGAAGCCCTCAGGATAATTATGCTTTTATTACATCAAACATTGAAATGACCAAACCATCAATCTCTTAGAGAATAGCTTGGTCACTTTCTAAAGAGGATAAAATGAGAAGCCCAATTTTTCTCAATAAGTAGAGTGAGTGACTAAAGTGAGTGAAGTCGCTCAGCTGTGTCCGACTCTTTGCGACCCCGTGGACTGTAACCCACCAGGCTTCTCCGTCCATGGGATTCTCCAGGCAAGAATACTGGAGCGGGTTGCCATTTCCTCCTCCAGGAAATAAGAGTAAACCAGAAGATAAATTTCAGATTAATATTTTGGCCATATTGGGTAAGTCAACTAAAAGACAGAGGAAACTGCTCTCACTAAAGTATGACTCTATCATGCTAGTTAGGAAGAAGCTATTTTCGGTGTATCCAAATGTGGCTTTTAGTCATTCATCTCTAAACCTTCTCTCAAATATCAACAAACCCAATGCTTCTGTGTAAAGCCCCATCCTGGGAAAGCCTCCAACAGGAACACAGAACAGACAGCTCCCCACCCCCCACCCCCATCATCCCTTCTTTTAAGTCTTTTCTCCTGTGATTTCCATGACCCTAAGGACTCCTGGTTCTCAGCCACCCATCACTTCTCCATTCCTGAAACCCTAGGGTAATTTTTAATCTTCAAGCCATTTCTAGAGTTGCTATGCCTGTTTCCATCTGCTGAGGATCTCTACGTGGATGGCTTGTAATGTCTCTCAGAACACTTTAGTCTCACCCTTATCTCTACTCTGCCCTCTACTGCAGACAAAACCATCGCCTACTTGAGATTCCAAGACCACCTTGAACTCTTCCTTCATCACCTAATAACCATCAGCTCCAGTCAACTCGGAAACACTGGTCAAATCTGTCCACTTCTTTCCCTGCCGCTGAGATATACAGACCCTTATCATCTCACACTTTGATACTGTAGAGTTCTGGGATACAAACCACTCGTCCTGACTTTGGTTAACTTCTTTCCTCTCCAATCCCAGTCCCACAGAACCAGAGGGTTTCTTTCTGAAGCCCAAAATACACATCATTTGCCCAAACACGTACATGTGACTCACTGCCCCGCCCCCACAATTTCAGTTTGTTCATTTTTGTCTATGCATCGCCTTGCTTGCACCATCCTGTTTCCACTCTGCCTGTCAAATAAAGTTTCTTTCAAGTACTCTATCATTTTATACTCTTTCTTGTAGCACTTCTTAATGCAGACTGTTTCTACATCTTTTTTTCTTTTTAGTTCATTGAAAGCGGGGACTCTGTCCTAACCTCTGCTACAACAGCTAGCAGACTGTCTTCCATATAAGAATGAGATAAGGGCTGATGACTGGGTCGCCCACATCGCTCACCTGGACAGGGGGAAGGAGAGCTATCACCACCCTATGGTAACCACGGCAATTATCTTAGACTGGAGATAAGTCCCCTCTTCACTGAAATCATATCCTTAGCACTCAGGTAAATACGACATGCTTATTTTCCACATCCATGAATACGTGGATTCATGTACACATCTGTATACATGTATAGGAAAGAACAGTAGTGTTGAAATCAGTCTACTGATTGAAATTTCCTTTGAATTTAGTCCTGTGATAGTCTTATCTTTTTTTTGATGGTATGTATTTTTCCTTTCTTGCTTTGACATTGTTCTTTGGGATAATAGGATTTCAATATTAAAAGATCATGTCAAGAAGACACCAAGTTTCATCGTTCTATGCCTTAATTTCAAAACCAGTTGTGAGTTCCACTGGTCCAATGAGAAATGTATGTTCCTGGGAGGAAAAGAGCCATCTTGGAAAACATCTCTCGAGATTATGTAGATTAAAAATTAGACTTTATGGAAAACAAACCAGCTTGGAAACAGCACTTTTATATGATGAAAACAATTCATTTAGTCACAACAATCAGTGTCCAGAAATTTAAAGACATTTTGGCTGCATGTCAAGAAATATAGGTTTGAAGATACATGGCTTATAACAAATGCATTAAAAATCTGGACACAAACGATCACATCCACTATTCACCATCAACACTGAGTCAAGATTGTAGGGCTTTAAAAATGAAGTGCGTGGATATGAGACGGAAAGGTTCTGAAAGTTTTCAACGGCTATAAAACACTGCTAAGCTTTGGAAGAACAGTCGGGCATGACCAAACCCAGGAGGGCATGTAGACACCTGATACAGTCCCAGTGTACCTTTCTGCCCACTTCCCAGCATGCAGCTTCCATACCAAGTGCTTAGAGTAGATCTTCCAAGTGTATCATAGCAGGCTGCACAGACCACTTAATAGCAGATCTTTTGGTGATCTTTTGGTTCATAGCTTCAAGGAAGCCAAGCTGTCTATTAATTCCTCCCACACCAGCATCAAAAAGACAGATCCAGCAACAAGCCATTTGAACCATAAGCAGCCCACTTCCTAAACTGGGAAATTCTGAGTAGTGAGGTAGATCTATCCTATAGGAAGCTGAAAATACAGAAGTGAAAGCAGAAAAGCACCCCATCTTGAGCAATGCAAGCTGGGAAAAAACCTCCCTACAGAGGAGATAATTCCAGCACTAAGAATGGATGAGCTCTCTGAGAATGAGTATCTAAGGTCAGAATCGAACACTCACAGTCAGGGATGGAAGAAGGTCTGAGACTGACTGTCTAGGGTCAGAATCGAACATTCACAGTGAGGGATGGGAGAAGGTAACAAGTTCAAAAAGAACCACAGACCTTTCAAATAAAATGTTTCATCCTAGAAAATTCCAATCATATGCAACAGCAGAAGAATTCAATGAGCCCCCATTACTGATCCCCCAGGTTCAACAATGCTCAAATCTTGGCCAATCTTGTTTTCATCATCTATACACACTCCCATTTCTCACCCTCCTCGCGACCTCTGAACCAGAAGAGACCTTTGAGAGCATCTAGCTGAACAGCCCCAGTTTATAGACGAGTAAACTCAATTCCAGATAATACAGTTGCTATGCCCTGAGATCACACAGCCAAAAGAGACACACAGAATAACAATATTAGGAGAAAAGAAGAGAAAGGAATTTCAGAGTAATTGTGATCAACGTTGCCAGATGGGAATCCCTGAAGCTCCAGTGTTTAGGACTCCATTCTTTTACTGCCATGGGCCTCAGTTTGATCCCTGGTTGGGCAACTAAGACCCCATAAGTCCCGTGGCTCAGCCAATAAAAAAAGTTTCTGGGATTTCCAAAGGGAGTCCATCTTGAATACGGACAACCAGTGACACATTTCTCACACATCAGTTATCACCCTAAACTACTGGGGACAAAGAATGCCCAACCTCCACTTAAATGTCTCCATCAGGACAAATTTCATTCATTCATAAATAATTACTCAGCACCAACAATGCACACCAGGTATTGTTTCAGGCACTGGGGACACAGAGATGAACCAGAGAGAAGCTGTCCCAGCCTTTACAAGATTCAATCTTGCAGTTGGGAGAAACACATAGTAAATCGGTTATAAGTAAGCAATTAAAGGCTGTTCTAACCATGATGAAGGAACGGGGTGATGTGATAAGAGAGGGGGGGGTTCTACCTAGATAGTGTGCTCAGGACTCTCTTAACAGGAAACATTTGAGCTGAGACCCAGCCAAAAGGCAAGAAAGCACATCTACATTAAACATGTAATCGTGACAGGTCCTTGGCCTGGTGGGATTATATCAGGGACCACGCTAATGGTAGAAAGACAAAAGCCTGGGGGGCGGGGGATGGTTATGGCCCGCAGTCCGAGGTGATCACCGTTTTTATTATTGTCATCATGACCCTTTATATTGGAACAAGGCTTCCGGGTTGGGCGGCGGGGGGGCGGGGGGCGGGGGGCGGGGGGCGGGGGCCGGGGGGCGGCGGGGAAGCAAAGCACTTGCCAGGTCGTCACAAGTTCAACGTACGAGTAACTTGCACATCGCTAGAACCTAAGGCCCTGAAAAGCCAAGAGGCTCGGGGACCCCCCAGGTTCCTCTGTCCTGAGCCTCCAGCCTCTGAAAACTGAAAGAAGCACCAGATATCGCGTCCCCTACCCACCTCCAGGGACTAGGAGATGGACGCGGTGTGCGGACCACCGGAACCTCAATGCAAGACTAGGCCCTAGCTCCGAGGCCCCTTCACTTCAGGCCGCCCCGAAGGTCACTTCCCTCACCGATGCCCCAGCCGACCTCGCCAAGGGCTCCCAAGGTTGCAGACAGGCGGAACCACGGTGTAGCACGTGGCATAGAGAAGAGAATTCCCCCTAATCCGTGCCCGAGGTGGGGTGCAGTACCTGTCAGGAGGCGTGAGGAGAGAGTATGCGGGGATGCGGCCATCACGCAAGAATCCAGCCGCCCCCTGGGAGCCCCGTGTCCTCTCTCCTCACCGGCTGCTGGGCGCCGCCATCTTCCTTCCCCGCCCCCCCGTGGGAAGAGCGACGCGTCCGGTTCGTCACTTCCGGCGGGCACGAGGCGGAAGCGGAGAGCTGCGGCTGGGGTTAGGGAGACCGCGGAGCAAATGGGAGCGTCCTGGGCAGAGGGGCCGGGGTCTGAGGTGCTTTCGCGGGGACGTGAGGTACCCGGGGGTAACGGAGGCTTCCGAGGAAAGGCTGCGCGCGACGGCGAGCCCCCGCCTCCTGCCCCGAGGCCGGCATCCCTGGCGGGAAGAGGGTACTTGGGCTGGGCTGGGCTGGGCCGGCCGGGGGCTGCTCGCGGGCCGCTTGCAGTTACCTCCTGGTCCTTCTGGACTGCCAGGAGGAAATGGTTCTGGGGACGGTGCCTGCACCTTCCCGCGCCGTCAGTTACAGCGTTACCATAGTCGCCGTTAAGGCGGAAAACGATGAACTCGGGCTCGTGGGCCCCGAGCCACCCCGAGGAATCGTCTGAGCGTCTCGGGATAAGGAAGGTGCGTGCGGAGTTTAAGATTTCGGGCTCTGGAGTGACCTCTGTATCCCTGGCTGCACCTTCTGGCCTTCTGGCTGTTAAGCAAATGGCCCAAGTCACCTGAACCTCGGCTTTGCCGCGGCACGACGCAGATCCTAATAGTATATATTCTTTAAGATGGTTGAGAGAATTAAATGTCTCTGCAGTAGGTAGCCAGCCGGAAGCCTGCCACGGCTAAGAAATAGATTAGCATCTGTGCCCTGGTTTGGAGGGCAGTGGTCAGCAGCTCTCGCTTCGTCTGGTTTTGGTTTTGGATTTCTGCAAGTAACAGTGCCCTGAAGGAAAGAGATTCAGTTTCTGAAAGAGGAGCGAGAAATAGGTAACTTCGTTCTAGGAGGGTGGTTTCTCTGTCTTCATGGATAAGGTTGTAGGTGGCCGGTTGGGTCACCTGAGTAGATGCTAACTCTTTCAAAGCCTTGATAAACTTACTACAATAGATAAAGACCTAGCTTTCTGTAGACAAAATCCTAACCTAAAATGCAGGATACACTTAGTTGACACAGAGCTATCTTTCTAGAAGCCAAATAGATATCAAAGCCTAAGGATATTAATAGAGTTTTTCCAAAGAAAATGTACAGGTGGCCAGTAAGTACATGAGAAGATGGTGTACATCATTAGCAGTAAGAGAAATATGATGTAAAATCTCCTTTAGATATCACTTCATGCTCCCTGAGGTGGCTCCAGTCAAAAATACAGATAAGAGATGACACCGAAGTGAGAGCGTGGGGAGACTGGAAGCCTAGTATGCCACGGATGGGAATAGAAAATGGTGGAGCTGTCTTTGAAAACAGTCTGGCAAGTTTTCAGAAAGTTAAGGGACTGTCACATGACTCAGCCATTCCACTCCTAAATGGCGAAATGAAGACATACTAACTCACCAATAGAATAGGTGGTGACAAAACAGGCCTTGTTTGCTTCTTGTTTGAGGGAGGCCTCCTGCTTAGAAAGGGGCCCCGGGAAAAGGTGGGTGCTCAGGTCCTTCGGGAGCATCGGGGGGGGGGGGGTGGGTGGCGGGGTGTGGGTGTGGGTATGTGGGTTTATGTGTGTGTTCAGGGCCTCAATGTGATGATAAGCAGTGGCTTCACCTGCCCTCTCTGGAGGCTTAGTAAAGTTGACTGTTGCCAGAGTAGGCAGCTCTAGTGTTGGGAACCGAGGATATTTCAGGACCTTTTCTTTGCCTGTGGCTTCACGGTAATGCCCCTGAGTCAAGTCAGGTCAGAGATGGAAATCGTACCAGTATAATTTAACGTAGTGTTGAACACATACAGAGTTGTTACCCAGGTCATAGAAAGGGCGAAAAAAGAACTCTTAAAGTGTCACCCAGGTAGTAGCTTCCGGAAGTGCTCCTGCCTCTGCCTGGGGGACTGGAAGGAGTTCCGGGTTATCACAGTATAGAAACCAAGAGGAACTGCTGCTCTACCAGTGCTCTGGTCTCAATGTCCACCTGACCAAGCAGGAACTTCAGGTGTTAGGAAAGCTGCATGCGGCTTCTGCCGCTGCTAATGGGGTGAAGGAGCAGCGGAGGGAGGCTCCCTGAAGCCGCATGTGGGAGGAAGGAAGGAGCCCGGGAGCCCCTCCCTTCCATCCTCAGGCATCACTGTCCCTTCTTGGCAGAGCAGAGCAGTGGGCATGGCGAGCCTGCTACTTTGGTTTGCAGACTCCCGATGATAGCACCACAGGCCCAGGATCAGGGTAAGTTTGGAGCCAGGACAGAGAAGCTCTGTGAGTTCTGAGGTGAACAGCTGTTCCGCTGTTCCAGGAACAGCTGTTCTGGTGTACAGGTTGTTGCTACTTAGTCGCTAAGTTGTTTCGGACTTGTGACCCCATACAGGCTCCTGCGTCCATGAGATTTCCCAGGCGAGGATTCTGGAGTAGGTTGCCATTTCCTTCTCCAGGGCATCTTCCCTTCCTAGGGAAAACCCATGTCTCCTGCATTGGCAGGCGGGTTCTTTACTGCTGAGCCACCTGGGAAGTCTATACAAATCCACCTCCTCCAAGTTCAAATGACCTAGATCAGCTCCTCGTTTCACTTAATTCCTCCAAGGTGACCAGTAGGGATCCTGGTGCAAGGTCACTCGAGTCAGACATTACCCCTCAGCTGTGACCTTTTCCAGTTCTCCACCCCAGGGCTGATTCTATCCAGGAGCTTGGGGATATCAGAAGTGGAAAAGAGAAGTTCAGGAATGCAGGAAAAGGAAACAGCAGCAGCGGAATGCACTAGAGTTAACTCTGTTCCCTGCTGTGGCCTTCCACCTCTTTAATCAGCAGACTCTGAGTTCCAGGGAAGCAGTAAGGGCAGCCCAGGAGATGAGTCACGAGTGCCTCCCTCCAGTCCGCCAGAAAATCTCAGTCATACTTGCCTTGAGTTTCTGACAGCCAGGGAGGCCCTGTGACCCAGTTCTGGTCCCAGAGAGAGAAAGAGAAAGCTTTCGCTTGGGCAGGGTGGCTGGGAATAATCTTTTTTACTGCTGAAGCTGGGCGTGCATGGGGCGGGGCTCTGGGCCTTCCCCCAGCCTTTCCACCCCAGGAAGTAGGGCTGAAAGTGAGATTCCCTGCACTGAGGCAGCCTCGCAGTTGTGAAGTGATGAAACAAGCTGCTGAGGGAGGCGGGGTGGGAAAAGAGAGAGCCCAGGTTCTGGATGAAATTGCTCGGGCATCACTGGAGCTTGTGTCTGCAGACTTGGCTGCAAGTGGGCTGTTCTGCTCAAGCCGCTTCCTGGGCTTCCTGTTCATTGCATCCCAGATGATACAGTCACGAGTGGGACCCAGGAGCCAAGGGTCCTGCCCTAGAGCTTGGTGAGGAAGATGATGTGGAGAAACAGCCCAGATTGTTCAGATGGCTGAGACACATATCACGTCTCAGAAAAGTAGCAGACTCAGTAGGGTGGCTGTTTCCCCTGGGATGTCAGTCCACAGTGGTTTAAATGACACGCAAATAAAAGGGGCAATTTTGTGCAAACTGGCTTCCCGTCTTGTTTCTTGGCTGTTGAATGTGTGCCCAGTTCCTTTGCTGATGTCAGAATGTCCACATCAAGAAAGCGTTCCTTTCCGGTTTTCCACCTGCTCAGAATCTTGAAGCCTGGTGAAGAAAACGGTAAGATGTTCCAAGTGTCACAGGGAACAAATCCTGTTAGGCACTACTGGTTGGGAAAATCCTAACGCATAAAGAGCATTCATAAACACGTAGGTTTTGTTAGCTACCAGGAACTCTTAAAAATTGTTCTCACATGTTCTGGTAAGTGACCTGTTGATGTTAAACTGGAGAATAACAAGGTACAAGGACATTCGCTAAAATGTAAATAAGAAGGATCCCAGAAAGGTTATTCTCAGGAAAAAAAAAAATTAGCAAGCTACTAGGAAAACATAAACAATTACATCTTTTCTAAAGTTAGTTACTAGTTCTCATCTATGGACCTTCTTTCCCCCTACATTTGTACCTTTAAAACAATAGCAAAAGATGAAGATGTTGATTTTTTTGAAGTCTTGATGTATGTTTGCAAAAGTACACTATTTCTTTAGCACTTACTGTGTATTACCTTCCTCAACATGACATTTACCTTTCACAGGAACCCAGATCTGTGTCATCTCATTTTCAGAAGATGAGCTTGAGATCTTAAAAGATTTTAAAAGAAATAATTTTTCCAAGTTCACATAGCTAGAAAGCATGTACCACAACTAGAACGTTTTTAAACCTGCCTGATTTCCAAGGCATGTGTTCTTAATCCTAATTCTGGGCCGTCTCCCATATTTTATGTATTATAGAGTCCTCATTATCTGGCCTTTTCCCTACTAGTTGAGTTTCACATTTCATCAAACAAGTGAAGTTATTGAAGTCTAGCCCCCCAAAATTATTCGATTTTGTGTTTTCTGACTCGGGTTCAATTTCCTCTGACCTCAGTTTCTGTGTTTATAGAACAGGAATACCAATACCAGGTCCACCACATCAATTCTGTTGCGCTTTCCAAACTTAATGACAGTTCATGTCTGGACACCTTCAAATAAAGTTCATTCCAGAGACCTGCTGAATCAAAAACCTTTGAGGGTGGGCCTGGGCATCCACAGTTAAGCAAAATGACTTTATTGTTATTTTAAAAATCACATAAGCTTTGTATAAAAATGTCAAGAATACAGAAAGAGAAAGCAAGACTTCTCAGGAGAAAGGGCCCTCAAGGAGGGTGGTGGTGATGCTGGTCCGAGTGGTGGTTGTACTGATGATGAAGATGATAACACCACAGACAGCCCCTCTTGTGTCCCAGAATTTACATACCTTGTCTCGTCTAATAACATTTTACCTTTTTTGCAACAATCTTGCAGCTAACACAGGATTATGCACATTTATACATTGGAGCTCACAGTCTGAGAAATCTGTTGGTACTAGGACTACTATGACAAAGTACCACAAAACTGGGTGGCTTAATACAGCAGTTGTGTACCATCCCCCAGTTATGGAGGCCGAAAGTCTGAAATCAAGGTGTCAGCAGGGCCATGCTCTGTCTGAAGCCTCTCTGGAGCATCCTTCCTGCCTCTTCACCTGGTGATCTTCCTTCTGTGTGTCTGTCTTCACAAGGCATTCTTGGCTCTGTGTGGGTCTCTGTCCACATTTCCCTCTTATAAGGACATGAGTCTAATTGGATGAGGGCCCACCCTAATGACCTCATCCTAATTTGATTATATTTGCAAAGATCCTATTTCCAAAGAAGGTGACACTCCTAGGTCGTGGGGTACAGGACTTCAGCATATCTTTCTGGGGGACACAGTTCAACCCATAACACTTAAGGATACGATGGGTGCAGGGCTGGATTTGAACTTGGGTGATGGCAGAATCTAGCCCTGTGGCCACCAGCCACCACATATCCCGTCTCGAGAAGGCGCTCGGAACATTTTGCCTCAAGCAGGAGGAGAAGTGATAAGTGGGGAGAAAATTCTTGCAACCATTCAGTAACTATTTACAAGAGCACAAAACTTCAGGCAAGTCTCAGACACTTCCTCTGTTTAACAGATGCCAAGTGACCCCACACAGCATTTTGAGGG